AAAATTGGTTTTGCAGCTTGCAGATCCGGCTAGCCGACAAAGGGGACCCTATTTATTTATAATAGTATTAAATTTTAATAATAATTTTTAGATTGCAAAAAGAGAAAATAAATATAATAGATATATCGCAATTTAATTAAAAAGAGTAATAAAATTCGACTAACAGAGAACAACTCAAGCTTTCAATATTATGACATTTCTTTCGAGTTTTATAGGCGGATCACATGCGTGATACACGATCGATACGCATACGACATACGGCATTGAAGTAGCGCGCTGATGTCTCTCGCCTAATCCCCACTCCGTCCAAAGCTGCGCGGAGCGAGGTTGTACTCTCCGTGAACTCAGTATAGATGATAAATTGTATGCCAATATCACAGCGTAAGATAATAAAATTAATGCATATACGCTCTATGATATCCATGTACATAAATATAAATATATAAAATTATATGTAGAAGATATATCGTATCATTTAACTGCAAACTTTAAAAAGGTATGAAAATTATTTTTCTAATTATTTTTATTGTACAAACGAATAGAAAGTTGTATTACAATTAATGTTGTGCCTCTAGCCGCTAAGGAAGAGGTCTTTAGGGATTTATACGCCCAAAGGATTAGGATCCACGCTCGAATTAAGACACTCCCGGACGTTAGGTAGAAATTGATATATTTCACCATCACGTCGCTAAAATCCTTGCAGATTTCCATTATCATTTTTTTTTCTTCTTTATTTAAATGTTGTATAAGTAATAAGGTCGATTCAGACTATACGGCACGGATCGTAACGTACCGGCAACGGCACGCACCGGCACTGGCACGACAAATTAATGTGTATGTTCAGATTGCTTCGGCAATCGTCCGTCAATTGGCGATTGAAGTTTAGCAGTCACAATAGATGGATCATTCAGCGACGATGAATTGGCTCTTATATTTATACTTTTAGACGAAGATGAAGCCGAAGTCAAAAAAATGAAAAAAAGAAATCGAAAATGGATACATCTAATATTGAAAAAAAGGAAACTTGAAGGAGAGCATTGGACATTGTTCAAAGAGTTATTAAAATATGACGACAAATTTTAACAGTATTTTAGAATGCCACAATGCAAATTTTATGATTTGTTAAAATTAATTAAACCTATGTTACAAAAACAAAATACATCGTTCCGTGAGGCGATTTCACCGACAGAAAGACTTGCAGTTTGTTTACGGTAAAGATTTTTTATTGAATTTACATTTTTGTATTTTTTTATATATGCTGTTTCCTCGCTGAATTGTGGCGTTGCCGGAAAATCATAATATGATGGTGATGGAGTTGGAGTTGCTATTCTTAAAGGTGTAGGAAATAAAGTTTGTATCGTTGATGACGATAGTGATGGTGATGGTGACGGTGATGGTACAGAATGTGACACATTATATAGGCCAGTATGATATGCTGGCATTTGTGCAGACCGTTGACATTGCGTGGGTGTATTAGGTACAAAAAATGGTTGTTCTTGCATAATTTGCTTCATTTCAAGGTCACTGATGATCGAAAATACTTGAGATTTGGCTATATTTTGATAGTAGGGAAAAAAATTTTTTACTGTTGCTGCTATACTTGAAAAGAACGTGTCTATTGCATTGGATTGTTAAGTCAGTGGAGTTATTTGCGGTTTATCGTTGTTCTTATCTAATAAATATTTCATCACCACTGCTGATGCCGTTTCTGGTTGTGTTTGATGTTTGTATGTATTTCTCTTATTCCTTGCTAAGTTGATAATTTTTCTGTTGATTTCTTTTTGTTTTTTCTTTTTTTCATTCTCAGCATGTAACTCTTCATCCGCATTATCATCCTTGTCATAATCTTTATCGTCGTTCCGATCATCTCCTCTATTGTCGTTTCGATCATCCTTCTCTATATCGTTGTTTCGATCATCACCTCTATCGTTATTTCGATCATCTCTTCTATCATCGTTTTTATCATCATATTCGTCTTCATTCGGTTCATCTTCATTATCATCATCACCGACATGTTTCAAATTACTATATGTGTCCCTTTCTTGCATGAATGGTATTAGAAATGACATCTCATCTTCAAATTTCTATTTTTTATTTTTGAGGCGGCCTGTCCACTTTTTGTTTCACGTTTTTTTTTCAAAGCTCTTCTGAAGGAATCTCGAAGATTTGTCCAAATTTTTTTACAAACAGCCGCTGAAAAAAGGCGAACAATATTTGTATAGAAATTGACAAAATATATAAATAACCATAGTGCAACTGAGAGAAAAAAAAGACATGTCCAAATCCCAAGTCTGAATAGTTCAGAGAATTAAAGACTTATTTAACATTTTTATCCTCAGTTCCTCAACTATGCAGTAACATTTTTATAAAAGATTAGAATCATGAAACTTATATTTTGTAGGTTTTTAGCTACTGGTGATTCGTTTAGAACAATAGCTACCAATTATCGACTCGGACATTCAACAGTGCAATCGATTGTCATCCAAGTATGCGAAGCGATAATAGAGAATTTAATGTCTCTAACAATGCCAAAGCCTACAGCAGATCAATGGAAAAAAATTGTCGAAGAGTTTTGGGATATTTGGAATTTTCCAAACTGTATAGGCGCTCTTGATGGAAAACATGTAGTCATTCAAGCCCCCGCAAACAATGGATCTCAATTTTTCAACTATAAGAAAACGTTTTCCATTGTCCTTTTAGCATTAGTGGATGCACATTACAGATTCATCGCAGTAGACATAGGGGGATATGGTAGGAATAGCGATGGAGGTCTATTTGCCAATTCTAAATTGGCCAAAGCCCTTGAAAAAAATAAATTGGATGTCCCAAAAGACAATGCGCTTCCTAATACGCAGAACATTATGCCTTATGTCATAGTTGGAGATGAGGCATTTCCGTTAAAAAAATATTTACTGAGACCATATCCTGGTTCGCAAATTCAGGGAGACAGATCAAAAAGAATTTTTAACTACCGTCTCTCACGCGCGCGAAGAGTTTCAGAAAATGTGTTCGGAATACTGAGCCAAAAATTTCAGCTTTTTAATCGAAGGCTGAAATTAAAGCCAGAAAATGCAGACAAAATTATTTTAACTATATGCATTTTGCACAATTATTTCCGAGACTACAATATTAATGTACAAGACCATGCGCATAATCAAAACTCTGACACTGGTTTGCAAAATTTACCACGACAAGGAGGAAGTGCTATAAATACTGCATTTATTGTTCGAGACGCATTCAAGGAATTTTTTATCACAGAACATGGCCGTGTTGAATGGCAAGATACAATAAATTAAAAACTATTTTCGTATATTACTTATTTTATATAGGTTAAATAAATAAAATAAGTTATTCATCTTACCTGGCTGGTTCATTTCCTTCGCAATTCTTCTTCAAACATTTTCTTTAAACACATTATCATTATATTTTGGATGGCTCATTACATACAACGATTCATAAAACTTCACTCACGCTTATCGTGTTCTTATCAGTAGCGACCTGTATTATTCCGCTACGTGGTTTCAACGTCATTTTCAGATAGGGGTAAAGCTTTAAGATATGCTGTCCTACCTTTAATTGTTTTGTTTTATAATTGCAAGTGGCTTGATGTTTTCGTAGGAAATCAACGCCTAGTATTCCGTCATATTCTATCGGAAAGTCATCCTTAACAACGTACATAGTATGCTTGATTCGGCGCTTTTCCAGAGTTATTGTCGCCTTAAATTTTCCAATTGTACATATTTTATGTCCCGTTACGCCGGTGAGCGTTATCTTTTCTTCTTTTATTAACGTTTCGCCTTTTAAATGTTTCACTTTAATTAGTGATATTGCGGCTCCTGTATCGAATAGCAAATTTATTTTTTCGCGTTTCGCTTCTCGCATTGGTAATGTGACAAGGTCCAATCCTGTCTGTATATGCGGCGTATTTTTAAAGTGTGATACTTGATATTCAATTGCAGGTCGGTGCGATTTTCTTTCGTTCCTTTCCTCCTCATCGCTACTTTGCGCAGAGTTAAATTTATTTTTTTCATGCTCGCTATTCTTGCGGTTTTTATTTTCCGGTCGCGAATTATATTGTTTGGTTCGGCTCGATTGATCTCTATTGGATCGTCCGTGTAATAACCAATATTCTTCGCGATTGTGTCCGGATTTTTGGCAATAATTGCAATATTTATTTACCGTATTTACACGGGGTTGTCGGATTTCGGCAATAAAAATCGATTCGCGTATTGGCTAGTTCGACAATCTCGACCGTAATGTCCGGTTTTTCCGCATTTTTGACATTTCACATTCATCAACGTAGCATATCCGCGCGATCGAACAATTGTTTTAATTTTGTCTTGCAATCCTATTTTGAAATTTTCTAAGGCTTGTTGCTGTATTATTTCCATGATTGCGCGTTTATTATCTACTGTATGATGACGTCCTTTCATCATCGATTCGTATAGCTCCATGGCTAGTTTGTCGGCTCAAAGTCCGTAAGTTCGCGCGCTTTCTCCGTTTTTCTGTTTTAGCGTATTGAATTCAATTTGTAGATGTGTTGTACTCTTTTTACTTCTACTAATTCTTGTTTCAATTGTGCGCGTTTGAAAGTCTAGCATCGCTCTGCCTTTTAATTTCGTGCATAATACTGCTTCTAATAGCGTTACTTCATCTAACGGGTCGATATGTTCTACTGCATATGTAGTCGCGCTCAAAAATTCTTGCAATTTATTTGGCGATCCGTCGAATTCCGGAATCATTCCGCGATCATTCCTCTTTAATGGTAAAAATCCGCGTCCTCTTCGATGTCGTACATATTCGGGTGTGGACTCGTACGCGGTCTCGGTTCTTTCTCCCGGCGGAGTTCTATGCTCATTGTTTTGTCGGGGTTGCGGCCCTCTAATTCTTAAATCGTATATCTCGGCATGCATATTTCTAATTTCCCGTCTCATTTCCTCTCTCATTTCCCGCAATATTTCCCTAAGGTCGTCGACTGCTTCGTTCGTTTCTTTCTGTGGTTTGTATTGAGCTTGCGCGTTTGATTGTGTCGCGTTTCTATTTACTTCTTCTTGTAATCGCTTAATTCCCTCATCGATATCTTCCGATGTGATGGGTTACGATGCGGAAGCGTTTGAGTTATACATGTCTTGAGTACAATAGATTTCGTCGGGGTCAAAGATACTCGAATCGTATGACGTTAGTGAGAATTTGCGGCGGTGTGTTAGTCTACTAGACGCACTTATTGATGATTCGACCTCAACATCTAGTTCTATATTATTCGCTATTAAACTGTTGTCTAATTCGCCGAATGAAAATTCGCGTTCGATTACAACGTTTGCTCCGAGTTCTGGTTCGGACAAATTCTCGCTTGAATTTAATGCGCTTAGATTTCTTCGTACGTTATCGCGTATATCCCGGAGTGCTTCTACTGCTACTCTTAGGGTGCCATTACATGGAGCTCGGAAACGCGGATTAGCGTAACGCGGAACGAGAGTGAAACCAATCGCGAGCATTCTGCAGTTTTTGTTACGCTCGCGATTGGTCAAGGTCACATGAAAATCACTTTGAATTTTTTAAATGGAACCCCCTATTTTTCATTACATATTCTTACAGCTTACCTCACGAGCTTTCAAAAACACTATAATAAAGTATTTTTTCATTAAGTACTTTTTGAGTTATTTTATATTTTAATCTGACATATTTTGATATAAAAAATAAAATATTTCGTAAAATATTCAGTTTTTGATAATCTTATTGTAATACTTTTATGTACAGAATTATGAGACAAATCAATTAATGCAAAAAAAAAACAAATAATTGTTTAAAAAAACACATTGTAAATAATTTTTTTAAAAACAATAATTTTTTTATATTAATTGATTTGTCTCAATATTCTGTACATAAAAGTATTACGGTAAGATTATCGAAAACTAAATATTTTACTAGATATTTTATTTTTTATATCAAAATATGTCAGATTAAAATATAAAATAACTCAAAAAGTACTTAATGAAAAAATACTTTATTATAGTGCTTTGGAAAGCTCTCGACATAAGCTATAAGAATATGCAATAAAAAGTAGAGGATTCCATTTAAGAAATTAAAGGTGTCCTTGACTTGACCTTAACGATGCCATCCAAGGTCAAACCAATGACATTATCTTATGTTCCCCTCAAAACCATACAATTTTTGTTCAAAACGTTTTTCTCTAAAATGCTTAGTTTTTGAAAGAAAAGGGGTGTACGGGTGGTCTAGGACACCCTGTATATATATTCTATTATTATTCTATTATATACAGGGTGTAACTAAACAAACGCATATGAACAACACTATCAGATACAGTACAACAATTCAAATCAAAAAGTCCTGAACCATTTTTTGATCTGAGCTTTCTTTTCGTTCTTATGTGATGTTAAAGTTAGTTAATCAGCGCCTGTCTATACAGCAGAAAGCCGTCTCGCTACTCCGATCCCCGTCGTACCTTCTCTGTTTTCTGTTGTAGACAGGCGCTGATTAGTTAACTTTAACATCATATAACAACGAAAAGAAAGCTCAGATCAAAAAATGGTTCAGGACTTTTCGATTTGAATTGTTGTTCTGTATCTGATAGTATTGTCCATATGCGTTTGTTTAGTTACACCTAGTATATAAGTATTGTCTGTCTGTCTGTCGGACCGCGAACTATTTCCACATTTATGGACCGATTTTCTCGAAATTGGTACCAAAATGTTGCAAATTTTTCGGGAATGGCTACTATGTGGTTTATTTTAGTTTAACACTCCACCCGCCCACGCACTCACCCACATACACACACGCAAAACCATTACTTCCATATTTATGGACCGATTTTCTCGAAACTGGTGTCAAAATTTTGCTAATTTTTTGGGGATAGCTACTATGTGCTTTTTCTAGTTTTACACCCCACCCCCACCCACCCACGCACTCTCATACGCACCCACACACGCAAAACCATTACTTCCATATTTATGGACCGAATTTCTCGAAATTGGTGTCAAAATTTTGCAAATTTTTCGGGGATGGCTACTATGTGGTTTTTTTTTTTAAATTTTACAACCCCACCCATCCATCCACGCACCCACATACTCATCCTCACACGCACAACCGATTTTTTCGAAATTGGTACCAAAATTTTGCTAATTTTTCGGGGAAGGATACTATGTGGTTTTTTTTAGTTTTACAGCCCTACCCACTCATCCATGCACCCACGCATGCACCCACATATGCACAATCGATTTTCTCGAAGTTTTCTCGAAATTGGTAACAAAATTTTGCTAATTTTTCGGGGAAGGCTACTATGTGGTTTTTTCTTAGTTTTACATCCCCACCCATCCACTCACGCACCCATATACGCACCCACAACCCATCCACTCACGCACCCATATACGCACCCACACACAGACAACTGATTTTTTGGAAATTTTCTCGAAATCGGTACCAAAATTTTGCTGATTTTTTGGGGAAGGCTACTATGTGGTTTTTTTTTTTAGTTTAACATCCCACCCATCCACCCACGCACCCACATACGCACAACCGATTTTCTCGAAATTTTCTCAAAATTGATAACAAAATTTTGCAAATTTTTCGGGGAAGGCTACTATGTGTTTTTTTTTTTTAGTTTTGCAACAACACCCACCCACCTATGCACCCACAAACGCATCCACACACGCACAATCGATTTTTTTGAAATTGGTATCAAATATATCCTTATCAAATATAAAAATTTTGCTGATTTTTGGGATATGGCTAATATGTGTTTTTTTTAAAGTTTTACACACTCATCCATCCACTCACGCACTCATACATGCACCCACACACGCACAAATATACATTTATGTTGTTGTCAAATTTAAAAAATCACCCCTTATGGGTAATAAGAGTTTATATCTCTTGACGTGAGTCATTTCATAAATGACTATATACATAAGTTGCTGGTTTCATATGTTTAATGTCATTGATAAAGTAAATAAATTGACCGAAACAGAAAATATTAAATATTAAGATGGGAGAAATAAATAAATCGAATGAAATTGAAAAGGAATTAATGAATAAAAATAATAAACATGAAATTACAAGTGTTACTGGACAGAGCGAAATAGAGCAAGATAGAGAAATTGAAGAATTTAAAAATGGTAAATGTTAAAAAATAATTTAAATTGCAAATATTATAAATATTTTACTTGGTATTAAACTCTTAATAATTCTTTTAATAATTATTTTGGTTATAAAATAAATTACTTTAATAATAATTTTATTTTACATTTTATTTTTTTTATTCTTATTATTATTCTTAATATCATCATTTAACCTAATCTAATTTATAATTAAAAAATTTCAGTGTTGGATAATGGGCTCGATCAATTATTATTATCTGCAGTAATTGAATATAAAAGTCAAAAGAAGAACAAGAAGGAGGAATATATTAAGGAAAAATTGCAGGATGAAAACAATTGTTGTGCCTCTAGCCGCTAAGGAAGAGGTCTTTAGGGATTTATACGCCCAAAGGATTAGGATCCACGCTCGAAATAAGACACTCCCGGACGTTAGGTATAAATTAATATATTTCACAGGTATTGGTACACTTTTACTTATTCGCGATTATAATAGTCGGACGCGATGTACGGTATATCGATACTGTTGATATGAGCGAGCGAGTAGTGAGCGATGTTAATGAGCTATATTACTGAGCTATATTACTGAGCTATATTACTGAGCTATATTACTGAGCTATATTACTGAGCTATATTACTGAGCTATATTACTGAGCTATATTACTGAGCTATATTACTGAGCTATATTACTGAGCTATATTACTGAGCTATATTACTGAGCTATATTACTGAGCTATATTACTGAGCTATATTACTGAGCTATATTACTGAGCTATATTACTGAGCTATATTACTGAGCTATATTACTGAGCTATATTACTGAGCTATGTGCTCTTTCTAATTATTAATTAAGTTATCCAGTTTGATTTCTTAAAATACGTGTTGTTATTTTCCGGTGTGAGTGCGTGTATGTGCGTAATACGTGCGCTTCGATAACAAAGTCGTGTCTGAGAACGCAAGATTTTATCTGTTCTTTGTGCTCTTTCTAATTATTAATTAAGTTATCCAGTTTGATTTCTTAAAATACGTGTTGTTATTTTCCGGTGTGAGTGCGTGTATGTGCGTAATACGTGCGCTTCGATAACAAAGTCGTGTCTGAGAACGCAAGATTTTATCTGTTCTTTGTGCTCTTTCTAATTATTAATTAAGTTATCCAGTTTGATTTCTTAAAATACGTGTTGTTATTTTCCGGTGTGAGTGCGTGTATGTGCGTAATACGTGCGCTTCGATAACAAAGTCGTGTCTGAGAACGCAAGATTTTATCTGTTCTTTGTGCTCTTTCTAATTATTAATTAAGTTATCCAGTTTGATTTCTTAAAATACGTGTTGTTATTTTCCGGTGTGAGTGCGTGTATGTGCGTAATACGTGCGCTTCGATAACAAAGTCGTGTCTGAGAACGCAAGATTTTATCTGTTCTTTGTGCTCTTTCTAATTATTAATTAAGTTATCCAGTTTGATTTCTTAAAATACGTGTTGTTATTTTCCGGTGTGAGTGCGTGTATGTGCGTAATACGTGCGCTTCGATAACAAAGTCGTGTCTGAGAACGCAAGATTTTATCTGTTCTTTGTGCTCTTTCTAATTATTAATTAAGTTATCCAGTTTGATTTCTTAAAATACGTGTTGTTATTTTCCGGTGTGAGTGCGTGTATGTGCGTAATACGTGCGCTTCGATAACAAAGTCGTGTCTGAGAACGCAAGATTTTATCTGTTCTTTGTGCTCTTTCTAATTATTAATTAAGTTATCCAGTTTGATTTCTTAAAATACGTGTTGTTATTTTCCGGTGTGAGTGCGTGTATGTGCGTAATACGTGCGCTTCGATAACAAAGTCGTGTCTGAGAACGCAAGATTTTATCTGTTCTTTGTGCTCTTTCTAATTATTAATTAAGTTATCCAGTTTGATTTCTTAAAATACGTGTTGTTATTTTCCGGTGTGAGTGCGTGTATGTGCGTAATACGTGCGCTTCGATAACAAAGTCGTGTCTGAGAACGCAAGATTTTATCTGTTCTTTGTGCTCTTTCTAATTATTAATTAAGTTATCCAGTTTGATTTCTTAAAATACGTGTTGTTATTTTCCGGTGTGAGTGCGTGTATGTGCGTAATACGTGCGCTTCGATAACAAAGTCGTGTCTGAGAACGCAAGATTTTATCTGTTCTTTGTGCTCTTTCTAATTATTAATTAAGTTATCCAGTTTGATTTCTTAAAATACGTGTTGTTATTTTCCGGTGTGAGTGCGTGTATGTGCGTAATACGTGCGCTTCGATAACAAAGTCGTGTCTGAGAACGCAAGATTTTATCTGTTCTTTGTGCTCTTTCTAATTATTAATTAAGTTATCCAGTTTGATTTCTTAAAATACGTGTTGTTATTTTCCGGTGTGAGTGCGTGTATGTGCGTAATACGTGCGCTTCGATAACAAAGTCGTGTCTGAGAACGCAAGATTTTATCTGTTCTTTGTGCTCTTTCTAATTATTAATTAAGTTATCCAGTTTGATTTCTTAAAATACGTGTTGTTATTTTCCGGTGTGAGTGCGTGTATGTGCGTAATACGTGCGCTTCGATAACAAAGTCGTGTCTGAGAACGCAAGATTTTATCTGTTCTTTGTGCTCTTTCTAATTATTAATTAAGTTATCCAGTTTGATTTCTTAAAATACGTGTTGTTATTTTCCGGTGTGAGTGCGTGTATGTGCGTAATACGTGCGCTTCGATAACAAAGTCGTGTCTGAGAACGCAAGATTTTATCTGTTCTTTGTGCTCTTTCTAATTATTAATTAAGTTATCCAGTTTGATTTCTTAAAATACGTGTTGTTATTTTCCGGTGTGAGTGCGTGTATGTGCGTAATACGTGCGCTTCGATAACAAAGTCGTGTCTGAGAACGCAAGATTTTATCTGTTCTTTGTGCTCTTTCTAATTATTAATTAAGTTATCCAGTTTGATTTCTTAAAATACGTGTTGTTATTTTCCGGTGTGAGTGCGTGTATGTGCGTAATACGTGCGCTTCGATAACAAAGTCGTGTCTGAGAACGCAAGATTTTATCTGTTCTTTGTGCTCTTTCTAATTATTAATTAAGTTATCCAGTTTGATTTCTTAAAATACGTGTTGTTATTTTCCGGTGTGAGTGCGTGTATGTGCGTAATACGTGCGCTTCGATAACAAAGTCGTGTCTGAGAACGCAAGATTTTATCTGTTCTTTGTGCTCTTTCTAATTATTAATTAAGTTATCCAGTTTGATTTCTTAAAATACGTGTTGTTATTTTCCGGTGTGAGTGCGTGTATGTGCGTAATACGTGCGCTTCGATAACAAAGTCGTGTCTGAGAACGCAAGATTTTATCTGTTCTTTGTGCTCTTTCTAATTATTAATTAAGTTATCCAGTTTGATTTCTTAAAATACGTGTTGTTATTTTCCGGTGTGAGTGCGTGTATGTGCGTAATACGTGCGCTTCGATAACAAAGTCGTGTCTGAGAACGCAAGATTTTATCTGTTCTTTGTGCTCTTTCTAATTATTAATTAAGTTATCCAGTTTGATTTCTTAAAATACGTGTTGTTATTTTCCGGTGTGAGTGCGTGTATGTGCGTAATACGTGCGCTTCGATAACAAAGTCGTGTCTGAGAACGCAAGATTTTATCTGTTCTTTGTGCTCTTTCTAATTATTAATTAAGTTATTAAGTTTAATTTCTTAAAATACGTGTTGTTATTTTCCGGTGTGAGTGCGTGTATGTGCGTAATACGTGCGCTTCGATAACAAAGTCGTGTCTGAGAACGCAAGATTTTATCTGTTCTTTGTGCTCTTTCTAATTATTAATTAAGTTATCCAGTTTGATTTCTTAAAATACGTGTTGTTATTTTCGGGTGTGAGTTAGTGTATGTGCGTAACACGTGTGCTTCGATAACGAAGTTGTGCCTGAGAGCGCAAGATTTTGATATTAACGAGTGATCAGGAAAGAAAAGAAAGGAAATATTTGAAAAAAATATTTGGGCTTTCTTCAGCGCAAACCAATAAAAAACGAAGTAAGTAATTGGAGCATAAAAATATATTTATGTATAAATTAATTTGTTGAGCTCCTATTGCCATACTCTCATCATTATTACATTTATCGTAGCGTTTGATGACATTATTAATTATTGATATTTGATGACATTACAATTATTGATACTAATTATAAGCGAAAATATCTCAAGAAAGTTTTGCATTATTAATTAAATTAAAATTTTATTTACTAAGGTTCGAGATATAGAGGTCGGCCAGAGAACGTTAAATCTTTTTAATTGATTTTGATAATAAGAAGCGATTAGGAGATAAAAGAAGAGATAATACTCGAAGGTTCGAGATATAAAGCTCGGCCCGAGAACGTTAAATCTTTTTAAAAGATTTTAATAATAAGGAGCGATTAGGATATAAAAAAAGGAGATAGTACTCGAAAAAACTATTTGGGTTTTCTTCAGCACGAACTAATAAACAACGAAGTAAGTAAATAGTACATAAAAATTGTATAAAGTAATTTGTTGTGCTCCTATTGCCATATTCTCAGTATTATTATATTTATCGGAGCGTTTGATGGCATTATTAATTATTGATATTTGATGACATTATTAATTATTGATATTATGAGAGAAAATATTTCAAGCAATTTTTAAATTATAAAATAAATTATTTTTTTAATTTTTTAAATAAAATAATAGTAATAATCAATAAAATTTATTATTTATAAATATTACTATATAATATTTTGTATAATTATACGTAAATGGTACAAGGTAAAAAAGTATGCCTAAAAAAAAAAAGGGGGGAAATTTATATAAAGTGAGTAACGAAGAAAGGCGCTCACGACAAAGAAAAAAAATTCAAACTTCTGAGGAAAGGTCAAAACGACTTAAAGATGATGCTCAGAGACATGCTCAGAAGAGGGCAAATGAAAATGATGACGCACGGTCTCTACGACTTGAAGATGATGCTCAGAGACATGCTCAGAAGAGGACAAATGAAAATGATGACGCACGATCTTTACGACTTGAAGATGATGCTCAGAGACATACTCATAAGAGGACATGTGAAAATAATGACGCACGGTCTCTACGACTTGAAGACGATGCTCAGAGACATGCTCATAAGAGGGCATATGAAAATGATGACGTAAGGTCTCTACGACTTGAAGACGATGCTCAGAAACATGCTCAGAAAAGGGCAAATAAAAATGATGACGCACGGTCTCAACGACTTGAAGTTGATGCCCAGAGACATGCTCATAAGAAGGCATATGAAAATGATGACGTAAGGTCTCTACGACTTGAAGACGATGCTCAGAAACATGCTCAGAAACATGCTCAGAAAAGGGCAAATGAAAATGATGACGCACGGTCTCAACGACGTGAAGTTGATGCCCAGAGACATGCTCATAAGAGGGCATATGAAAATGATGACGTAAGATCTCAACGACTTGAAGACAATGCACAGAGACATGCTCAGAGAAGGCACCAATGCAAACAATTAAATCAACACATTGCGCTAATTGCCAAGGGCAATGAATTGAATGTGCCTATTCATACACTTGGCCAAATGAATGTCGAATGCCAATTTTGCAAATCGTTAAATTTTAAATGTGAAAAGTCTAAAGATGGAAAATTCACATATTATTGCCAAAAGGGCAAGCTTGAATTAAAGCAGATAAATTGTCCTGATTTTCTGAAAAAATTATACATTGGAAATTATTCTGCATCTAAGAATTTTCTTAATAATATTCGTTCTTATAACAGCGCTTTAGCTATGGCTTCCATGGGTGCCCCAGGAAATAGAAATCTATTGGATGTTGTGAACAATGCTCCTTATTGCTTGAAGATTCATGGGCAATATCATCATTTGACATCGACGGCAATGCGCCCAGCGGATGGACAAGCTCCGCGCTTTGCACAGCTTTACTTTTTAGATACAGAAGAAGCTATAAATTATAGAATGAATAACGAAGCTAATCAAGAGTGTGATTCGGAAATAATGAAAGATTTGTTATGCTTTATGGACCAATGCAATAAATTTGCCAAAACTTTCAAAATGATGCGTCAGGTTGAACAAGATCTTAATCCGAGAGGCAATGAAACCATAAATTTAATGTTGTCCTTTCAAAACGATCCTCAACATGATCAAAGAAGATACAAAGCTCCAAGAGCAAATGAAATAGTTGTAGTATTTCAGAATGTAGATGGAGAATCTCCATTTGAAAGAGACATTCGGATTTATAATAAAAATTCGAACGATGTTCAACAAATATCAATTCTGGACAAAAGGTGTGATCCGATGTGTTATCCTTTGTTATATCCATATGGAAACGATGGATGGCATTCAGAACTTAAATCATTTAATCCTAAATATCTAGGATTCAAAGTAAGTCAAATGAATTATTATGCTCACTTGCTAGCACCAAGAGTAGAATTTAGTCAGTTTAAAAAGACAGGCAAGTTGAGATGTCAATTTATACTTGATGCATATATGAAAACTGAAGCCAATAGGCTTAATTATATTAAATTAAATCAACCTCAGTTAAGAGCAGAACTTTATTCGGGATTAATGGATCATCTAGATAATCGAGCACGAAATGAAGAAATTACAGCTGGTATACCTGTAATTTTACCATCTTCATTTATAGGTAGTCCAAGAAACATGCAAGAAAGGTACCAAGATGCTATGTCTCTGGTGAGAAAGTTTGGTAAACCAGACATTTTTTTAACGATGACTTGCAATCCTCAATGCCCCGAAATTAAGAATAATCTTGATGAATGTTTAATAGAGTTCCGACCTGATTTGGTCGCTAAAACATTTAACTTGGACGTCAAGGAGGTTTCAAATAATCTAACAAAAAAAAAAAAATTTTGAAATATAGCTTACGCAGGCGTGATTGAGTTTCAAAAAAGAGGACTTCCACATTTGCATTTACTTGCGATGTTAAATGATGAAGATAAGTCCAGACTTCAAGAAGTCATAGACATGATGGTATGGGCTAAAATCCCTGATGAGGAAAGATATTCAGAACTTAATGTAAAAGTTTTGAAGCACATGATTCATGGTTGTTAGGACGTGGCCGATCTATCGTATTGCTCGGTGAGAGACGGAATCGCAATCGCGCTTACGTGAGCCTCGCGAGACGGCGCCACCCCCCTGGAACGGATCGGAGCTTCGGAGCAGCGCGGCGATATCAGATAGCGCCCGCGCTGTCGCGATATCCGGAATGATTTATCCAATGAATCGATGCCACGATAGCGACATGCGTCCATTATCGCGCGTTCTTCTTCCGGTTTGCCTTCTTGTTCGTTTTGCCGACATAGTGAAACGGTACATTCTTTTGTGCTCCGATTTACTACGGGATTGAACACACGCCGAGTCCACTGCGGCGATCTATCGGCCCCTCGGGTCCAGTTTTCTCGGCACGGCCATACGGTCAGGATTACCCGCGCAAGTGAACAGTACGCTCTCGTATCCGCCCGAGTGGCTTACACGCGCCCGCTCTACGTGTTCAGACACGCGCGTCCGCCATTATCTCGTAGCTCGGAACATTCGAGTCGGTTCGAGAACAAGGACTATTAGTGAAGAGTTAACGTACAGTTATACTCCTATATAGTTGTATGGGCGTGTGTGTGTGTGTGTGTGTGTGTGTGTGTGTGTGTGTGTGTGTGTGTGTGTGCCAATAAAGCTCTGTGAATTCTGCGATCTTGGTAATCGCTTCTAAGACAATTATCACACTCTATCCTTTATCCACGACCCTTATCGCACCAATCGGCGCGAGTATCGGCATATTTCCATCTCTCTCGATCTCGAGACATCCAACCCAACAGGTTCGGAGGTCAACGGATTGAAATTGCAACAATGGTCCTTGTGGAGATCCCTCCCAAAGATATCCTTGTACTGGGGACGATGGAAATTGTTCAAAAGGTTTTTCAAAAGAGTTTTGTGAAGAAACAAATAGTAATGTGAATGGATATCCCATGTATCAACGGAGGAATTTTGGGAAAAAGTATATCGTCAGAGGCAAAGAAGTTGACAATCGATGGGTGGTGTCATATTCACCATATTTAATAATGAAATATGATCGACATATAAATTTGGAAATATGTTCATCAGTGAAAAGCGTAAAATACTTATATAAATATATTCATAAAGGATTTGACTGTGCTGCAATTGAAGTGCAAGCACGAGATGGCACAAGGTTAATTAAAATAGATGAAGTAAACTCATTTCTGGATGCAAGATATGTTAGTGCTCCAGAAGCAATGTGGAGACTGAACGGATACGATCTGTTTATGAAGTCTCACACAGTAATAAGACTGGCAGTTCATTTGCCGAATCGTCAAATGATTTATTTCAGAGTGAGAAATGAAGAGCAAGCTACTCAAAGAGAGCTCAATCGAGATACTACGTTGACTGCATGGTTCAAATTAAATCAATCTGATAAAAATGCGATGCATTTTCTTTACACAGATATCCCTTATCACTATGTTTATGATAAAAAAGAAACTAAGTAGAAGCCACGCAAAAAAGGTGGTGACAAAATAATTTCAAGACTTTACACAGTAAGTATAAAAGATATTGAAAGATTTTATCTACGTCTTCTTTTACTTCATGTGGCTGGAGCTAAATATTTTGAAGATTTGAAAACTGTAGATGGAGTTCTTTATGAGACGTTTAAGGATGCAGCAATTGAAAGAAAATTGGTAGAAGCTGATGATCTTTGGATAAAAACTCTGGAGGAAGCAACAGAATCAAATATGCCTGCACAACTTCGAGAACTATTTGCCTACATTTGCATCTTTGGAACTCCAACGGATGTACCAACTATTTGGAATAAATACAAGAATTTTATGATTGAGGACTTTGTACACAACAATGTTGTAAATCCTGAAAATATGGCCTTAAACCATATACAAGAAATTCTGATAAATAATGGAAATACATGTGAGAACTTCCAATTGCCAAATCCAACTCCAGTAAATATTTACGTAACAGAGTATAATGTGGATGAAGAAAGAATACGTGGTGATTATTTATTATACTGGACAGAGCGAAATAGAGCAAGATAGAGAAATTGAAGAATTTAAAAATGGTAAATGTTAAAAAATAATTTAAATTACAAATGTTATAAATATTTTACTTGGTATTAAACTCTTAATAATTAATTATTTTGGTTATAAAATAAATTACTTTCATAATTATTTTATTTTAGATAAGTGGAAGCCACGCAAAAAAAGGTGGTAACAAAATAATTTCAAGACTTTACACAGTAAGCATAAAAGATATTGAAAGATTTTATCTACGTCTTCTTTTACTTCATGTGGCTGGAGCTAAATATTTTGAAGATTTGAAAACTGTAGATGGAGTTCTTTATGAGACGTTTAAGGATGCAGCAATTGAAAGGAAATTGATAGAAGCTGATGATCTTTGGATAAAAACTCTGGTGGAAGCAACAAAATCAAATATGCCTGCACAACTTCGAGAACTATTTGCCTACATTTGCATCTTTGAGAGATCATCGTTAAGGGGGTTGTTTATCAACAACCGGCGCAATATTGTTTTTGGTATTATATTCGATTAGTCGAATGACGGCTGACATACAGTTTGAACGCGATTGATCGTTGGCCTTATATTATTCTAAATATTATTATTTATCGTGTTATTTATGTTATTTCTGATTATTATTTAAGTTATTAAGTTTAATTTCTTAAAATACGTGTTGTTATTTTCCGGTGTGAGTTACATTAAATGCTGAGCAAAAGTACGTGTACGATATAGTAATGCGAGCAATTGACAATGAAAATGAATCTCAATGGTTATTTTGTATTGATGGGTTTGCAGGAAGTGGTAAAACCTACATATGAGTGTAATTCGAGAAAGAAACGAGATAGTCCTTCCATGTGCCTCAACTGGCATTGCAGCTACACTTCTAAAAGGAGGAAAAACCTATCACTCCCTGTTCAAGCTTTCGATCCCAATTGATGATTAAGGTTAAATTAAAACAAAATATGAGAACTGGGGATGAAAAAGAATTTGCAAATTGACTAATGCAACTAGGAGATGGTAAATTGCACAATACAGATGGACTATCTCGATACAATTGAAATCCCTCAAGATTTTATATCAAAGGAATCATTAATTACTGAAATTTTTGGTGATAAAATCACCAAGAAACAGATCAGAGAAAATCCAAATCGAGCGATTCTTTGTCCTAAAAATGAGGATACATTCAAAATTAATGACGAAATCCTTCGTCTAATGGAAGGAGAAGAAAAAGAATATCTCTCAATTGACTCTATTGTGAGTGATGATCCACAGGAGCAATTGCATTTTCCGACTGAGTTTTTAAACTCTGTGACACTTTCTGGGATGCCAGTTCATCAACTTAAAATAAAAGTGAATGCAACAATTATCCTATTAAGAAATTTAAATACTAAAAAAGGACTCTGCAATGGCACAAGGTTCATTGTAACTGATTTAAAACCTAATCTTATTTATGCAGAAGTTCTAACTGGTTCTTCCCGAGGTCAGATTGTCTTCATACCAAGGATCGATTTTTTACCAAATAATGCAAAAATTCCATTTAAGCTTAAACGAAGACAATTTTCTATTAGAGTGTCATTTGCTATGACAATAAATAAATCTCAAGGACAAACGTTACAAAAAGTTGGTATTTATTTGCCACATCCCGTATTTGCTCATGGTCAACTATATGTAGCATTTTCTAGAACAACCAAAAGGGATTGTGTAAAAATTAAGATTGATGAATTGAGCAATCAAGGGCAACTCATTAAAAGAAATCCAAAATATTTTACCAAAAATGTTGTATACGGAGACGTTTTATAAATTGAAAAATTAAAAAATTGAATGAGAGCTAATAATAGTGGATCAGCGGTGGGTAATTCAGTTGTCAAAAAAAATTAGAAGAGTAAAAAATAAAATATATAAAAAATATTATATGTAAAGTAAGAGTCACAGAAAAAGGGGGGGGTCGTTGAGCAAGCATTTTCCAAAATTACTTCTTGATCAGTTATTTGCTATGAGCTATCTTGCTCGTGAATTTCGTTCGAATATACCTTCAATTATCATTTTCACATCTGTACTTGGGCGAGTGTTCATTGTTTATAGTTTTACGTCAATTGTTCTTACGACTGCTGTTTCTCGTGAATGTTTTCAAAATTCTTTCGGAAAGTATTTACTGCAAGTACTTTTCCATCATTTGTTCCCACGACTATTTTTTGTGTTAATTTCATTTAGGCTTACAATCATAAACTCTGCTTTCTATGAATTTACTTTGAATCTCTGTTATAATATTATTAAAGCATTGTTAATCTGTAAAATTTCATAATGTCATTAAACCCAAAAAATATTTTAAAGTTATTATGCCTCACTTTCGAGGACCCAGTGTACAATATAGAATCTAGAATAACAGATGAAGAAAGATCATTCGCTTCTCAACTTGCAGATTTGATAAAAGACGCTATCAATTTTGATATATTTAAAGAGACTTATGATACTTTGAACTGTACTGATGCTAGTGTGATTCCTGATGCTGTTTTAGTTGAAGACAATCCAGATGTTTCGGAAGTTATGCAAGACGATACAAAATTCAGAGAAATTGTAGACATTGATTATAAGAAGAGAGTAATTGAATTTTGGCGATCTGGACAAAAGAAAAGAAGGAATATAGAATCAGTTAAAAACCGATTTAAGAAAGTTATAAATGTAACACAATTGTACCGATGGGAAGCACAAGTTGCTGAGGGTGGGTCAAGGACTGATAAATTGTTATATATCTCTCAATACGTTCTAGAACAATGTAACAGTGCATCTGATCGAAATCTACCCATTCACGATTTAGATCTAAAGAGATGGGCCTTGAAAGCAGGAGAGGTAGTTCATTTGCCTTCTTAATTATTTACGGCTTCATCAAAATGGATACACAACTTTAAAATACAACATGGTATTGTTTCAAGAAAAATAAATAAATTCGTGACACAAGCGCATATTTTAAATAAAGCAGAACTATTGGAACAATCTTCCAATTATGTGAGTCAAGTTAAACTAGA